TGTGTGTGTGTGTGAGTGTGTGTGTGTGAGAGAGCATGTGTGTGTGTGTGTGAGTGTGAGAGTGTGCGTATGTGTGTGAGAGCGTATGTGTGTGTGTGAGAGCGTGTGTGTGTGTGAGTGTGTGTGTGAGTGTGTGTGTGTGTGTGAGAGCGTGTGTGTGTGAGTGTGTGTGTGTGAGAGAGCATGTGTGTGTGTGTGTGAGTGTGCGAGTGTGCGTATGTGTGTGAGAGCGTATGTGTGTGTGTGAGAGCGTGTGTGTGTGTGAGTGTGTGTGTGAGTGTGTGTGTGTGTGTGAGAGCGTGTGTGTGTGAGTGTGTGTGTGTGAGAGAGCATGTGTGTGTGTGTGTGAGTGTGCGAGTGTGCGTATGTGTGTGAGAGCGTATGTGTGTGTGTGAGAGCGTGTGTGTGTGTGAGTGTGTGTGTGAGTGTGTGTGTGTGTGTGAGAGCGTGTGTGTGTGTGAGTGTGTGTGTGAGTGTGTGTGTGTGTGTGAGTGTGTGTGTGCGAGTGTGTGACTGTCTGTGAGTGTGTGTGAGAGAGTGTAAGTGTGAGTGTGTGTGTGTGTGTGATGGGTCAGTGTATTTCGACCTGAGGATGAGTGCAGTCCTGCCAGTGTTGCCATGGAAACGGGTCATCCCTTGTCACATGACCTTGTCTCTGACCGCAGTGCGCTGACAGTCCTCATGAATAATTCAGCACTTTAAATGCTACTCACTGCGAAACTGCTTCACACTCACTAACACACTCACTAACACACTGAAAATCGTTTGGCAAGCAACATTTCATTGGGAAGTATTTCTTCATATTACAGAGGAGAGGTTTCGCTAACTTCTGGAAGCTTTTAAAAGTATGAAATGGAGCAGGAGTGATCGTCACATGACATTTACAGCTCATGTGATTGGCTGTAAATATTAATGCGGTGTCATGAGGCTTGCGTGACAAAACTACATTTCCCATCAGTCTTTGCGGCCACATAAAATAGGCACAGATCGGACAAGCATCACTTGTACATGTAACGCTCTCCTTTTATTCACACTAGCGCTTTAAAGATTTTAGCGTTTATTAAAATGTCGTCGATTAAATTGTCATCATGTGACTGACCTTCAGTGTTGACGTGTGTTTGATGTAATGCAATGGTTTTTTTTAGTGTTGCAAAAATGTTAACAAAGCGTTTATGAACCATTGTTAATTTTAACAATCTGTTGGCAAAAATCTGTTTGCAAAATCAAAACGTGATTCCAGTTTGATCCGTGATGCTGAGATTGATCAAACCTGAATAAAGGTGAAGGCAGAAAGCCGTGATCTGACAGGCTTCAGTCTCTCTGCTGCCCCCTGCAGGTCTGGAGCCACTGCAACACTGGAGGCTCAGGGAAGTTCACCTGAAGATGTTTAATTATAAATGGCAAGACACCGCAGTTCATGTCAACATGATGACTAGGATATACTTCTGGTACAATGATGAACATATTTTAAACAGATTTGACACTACTTTAGATTGTGTTATGGTCAGTCTGAAATGCCCAAGCAACGTCTGTTGTCAAAGTATTTCTGTATAATTGCCTCCCAGAACTTTCTTACACGACTGCGTTCACATCTGCCTCCGAAAGCACTGACCGCATTTATTGTGTTTCGTAATTGATTATATATTCAGTGGCTTCTCCTGTTTTCTTAGTGATATTTAGTGCCAGTTTATCAGGGCGTGACTATTTTGTTCCCTTTGACTCGTTGGATGGAAATGGTACTTATTTCAATTTTGCACATAAGTTAAATTCGCATCTTTGGATGGAAACGTGGCTTGTGAGACTCGCCGTCTGAATGATTGAATGTGATGGCGCTTGGACGTGAAAGCTCTGACGCACTGCAGAGATGATCTGAAGATCTTCACGGACACTCCTGGGATCCCAGAAAGCTCTTAGTCAGTCACTTTACAAGCATTCAATCCATTAAACATCATCCTCCTTCCTTTCTCATTCAGCGTGTTAACTGAGGAGAGCAGGAATGCTAGAACTAAATATAGATAGAGAGTGAGTGTGTGTGTGTGTGCGTGCGTGTGTGTGTAAGAGTGTCTGTGAGTGAGTGAGTGTGTGTGTGTGTAAGAGTGTGTGTGTATGTGTAAGAGTGTGTGTGTGTGTGAGAGAGAGTGAGTGTGTGTGTATGTAAGAGTGTGTGTGTAAGTGTAAGAGTGAGTGTGTATGTGTAAGAGTGTGTGTGTGTATGTGTAAGAGTGAGTGTGTATGTGTAAGAGTGTGTGTGTGAGAGAGAGTGAGTGTGTGTAAGAGTGTGTGTGTGTAAGTGTGTGAGTGTGTGTAAGAATATGTGTGTGAGAGTGAGTATGTGTGTGTGAGTGTAAGAGTGTGTGAGAGTGAGTGCGAGTGTGTGTGTAAGAGTGTGTGTATGTGTGTGTGTAAGAGTGTCTGTGAGTGAGTGAGTGTGTGTGTGTAAGAGTGAGTGCGAGTGTGTGTGTAAGAGTGTGTGTGTAAGAGTGTCTGTGAGTGAGTGTGTGTGTGTGTGTAAGAGTGTGTGTGTATGTGTAAGAGTGTGTGTGTGTGTGTGTATGTGTAAGTGTGAGTGTGTGTATGTGTAAGAGTGTGTGTGTGTGTATGTGTAAGAGTGTGTGTGTGTGTGTGTGTGAGAGAGTGAGTGTGAGTGAGTGTGTGTATGTGTGTGTGTATATGTGTAAGAGTGTGTGTGTGTGTGTGTGTGTGAGAGAGAGTGAGTGTGAGTGAGTGTGTGTGAGTGTGTGTAAGAATATGTGTGTGAGAATGAGTATGTGTGTGTGAGTGTGTGTGAGAGTGAGTGCGAGTGTGTGTGTGAGTGTGTGTGTAAGAATATGTGTGTGAGAATGAGTATGTGTGTGTGAGTGTGTGTGAGAGGGAGTGCGAGTGTGTGTGTGAGTGTGTGTGTAAGAATATGTGTGTGAGAATGAGTATGTGTGTGTGAGTGTGTGTGAGAGGGAGTGCGAGTGTGTGTGTGAGTGTGTGTGTAAGAATATGTGTGTGAGAATGAGTATGTGTGTGTGAGTGTGTGTGAGAGGGAGTGCGAGTGTGTGTGTGAGTGTGTGTGTAAGAATATGTGTGTGAGAATGAGTATGTGTGTGTGAGTGTGTGTGAGAGTGAGTGCGAGTGTGCGTGTGTGTAAGAGTGTGTGTGTGCGCGTGTGTGTGTGTAAAAGAGTGTGTGTGAATGTGTAAGAGTGTGTGTGTGTGTGAGAGAGAGTGAGTGTGTGTAAGAGTGTGTGTGTGCGCGTGTGTGTGTGTAAGAGTGTGTGTGTATGTGTAAGAGTGTGTGTGTGTGTGAGAGAGAGTGAGTGTGTGTGTATGTAAGAGTGTGTGTGTAAGTGTAAGAGTGAGTGTGTATGTGTAAGAGTGTGTGTGTGTGTGTGTAAAAGAGTGTGTAAGAGTATGTGTGTGTGAGTGGGTCTAAGAACAGAAGGCAGGGTCAGGACGAGCAGGTTGACTGTGTTTAATTGGCTGTATTAACAGCTGATATTTCTGACAGTGTTTGTGGTGCAGCATGGGTTCAATTTACAGAAAAGGAAGAACTGATCAAATGTATACATTGAATGCAACATTAGTCACTTTGGATAAAAGCATCTGCCAAATGCATAAAACTGCATATTGAGATCTTCGTGAAGCAGCATTGAGCTTAAGATGAGTACTAAACTAGAAACAGTGTTTGAGTTATTCTCTGTGAAATAACTAGAATTTATTACTTTTGCATGGGCAGAAATTCAGAGCAAAAGTCACATAACTCTGCACAGGATCGATGCTTCTGCACCATTATATGTATATCAGTGATTTTGTTTTCCAGTACAGATATCTTAAATCAGAATACATTCATTGGAAATGCTAAATGACACGAGATATTAAGTCTTGTTTAATGAGAAATTTAAGAAATATCAACTTGTTTTGAAGTTGATTCTTCTGACCCCATTAGCAGATATTTGTTCTTGTTTTAATCATAAATTTAATTCATTTTATCATTAAACAAGACGTCTTATCTCAAGTCATTTTGCACCTCCAGTAAATATATCTTGATTTAAGAATGTTTAGATGTTTGTGCTGGAAAACAAGACAAAAATACTGACAGAGAAGCACTTTTTGCAGTGTCTGTGTTGGCGATTTTGGGTCAGAATGTGTTTTAAAGTGGACCAGATTCAATGCCGGTCAAGATTTTTATGCAAAAAAAGGCCTAAACAAAGTTTTATGCAAACAATAACAGTCACTCTGCATGCAAACACACACAGCTTAACACACACAGCGTAAACATACAGACGTTTCAGTGCGTCCAGCTGCTTTAATAACAAAAGCCACGCTGTGAAATCTGTGAAGTTATTCTAAAACTGCAGAGGCTTCTGGGTAAATCTGCTCTGAGCTCCTTTCATTAGTTGTGCATGTACCCCGCGGCTCCCAGGTTAAATGAAAAAAAAGAGTACATTTCTATAATGTACTTAAAGTGCTCTACTTGATCTTAAGAAGTACTAAAGAATCAATGATACGTTTCCATGCAATTTCCATTAGTCTTATTACTCGCTAAGAATTGTGGTTATTTTGTACTGCCATTATTCACATTACCCCACTGCACAGCACAAATGATGGACTCGGAAAGAGCAGGTGTGTTACTGGCCGCTCTTTTAATTTATTTACGTCTAATGCAAAACACGTTTGTATGGTTGTATTCCATGCTTTTTCGGTGCCATAGCAATGTGATGGCAATTAGTTTGTCTACGCTGCCGTCGTGTTCTACTTTGTATATTTAGATTAAAATTGGCGTACGCCACCTATGTTAATACAATTGTGCTTGCTGCGATTATGAGCTTAATCGCATTATTTAGATCGAAGTATTGCGTTTACATGAGGTATAGTTTAATCGCAATAATTGTCAAAAGCTCATTATAATCGCATTAAGAGGGTGCATGTAAACGCACTGACTTTTAGTATATTAAGTATAAAATAGTGCGTGAAAATAGAGCACTTTAAGTACATTATGGAAGTGTACTCTTTTAACCTGGGCTCTTCAGAGTCTGAAGCGTGTTCTGATGCAGACGCTCCGTCAAACCCGTCGTGAACTGGAGTCGTGAGGATTGAGACGTGGTTTATGCGCTCTTCACGCTGGCCGGGTCAGACTCGTGTTCTCCGTGTCGGGCCGAGAGCCGGTCCAGAGAGCACGGCGAGTCTGCGGGCGTCCGGCAGCGGCAGCAGCGGGCGAGATCGGCGCGGAACGAGGGCGTGTAGAGGCCGTAGATCACCGGGTCGCAGCAGGTGTTCAGGTTGCCGAACACGAAGAGCAGGTGATGGATGTACTCGGGCGTGACCTTCAGCATCTCCGGCTGGAACCAGTACCAGATGCCCAGCAGATAGTAGGGCGTCCAGCAGACCACGAACGACAGGACGATGATGATGGTCATCTTCAGCGTCTTCATCCGGGCCTTCGGGATCATGTCTGTGCCGCTGCGTCTCAGAGACTCGCCCGCTGCAGACACAAACACAGCATCAGCGATCAGAGCTGTTCCTCAAACAGAAGAGCGTTGCGTTCGCAACATTAAGGTCATGGGTTTGATTCCCAGGGAATGCATGAACTGATTTACATTTATGCATTGGACAGATGCTTTTAACTAAAGCAACTTACATTGCATTCAAGGTACACATTTAATCAGTTCATGCTTTCCAGGGGAATGAAACCCATAACCTTGGCGTTGCAAGCATTATGCTCTTCTGTTTGAGTTACAGGAAGGCTAAAACTAAAACTGATCAAACACAGCTTGAATGCAATACAAGTCAGATAAAACATCTGCCAAATGCATGAATGAAAATGTGAAATTAGTCATTTGTTTTTGTCATTTTGATAGTTTTTTTTCAATATGACCATATGGTTTTTTACTTTTTTCATTTTTAGTTTTAGTTATTTTAGTACATCAACTTAAACAGTGTTAATTTTGACAGGCATTTTTGATTTAGTCTTAATGTTTAATAGTCTTAGTCACATTTTAGTCATTTGAGTCTTTCATAGTTTTAGTCGACGAAAATCATTGCATTTTTGTCAACTTTTAGTCATTACTTTTAGTCAAACTGCAGTCACCAACATTTATTTTGGTAGCTATTTTATATGTAGTCTTCAAACAAATATAGTAATTAATTTCTTCTCTCTTCAGACCAAATCAATTAAGCTTATGAGAAATTTGAATCAAGGATTGAATTTGGAAAAACTTGAATAAATGACAATTTTCATTTTTGGGTGAACTGTTCCTTTAAGAGTAGCGAAAACGGAGCAACTTCTAAAAATTATAGTTGTTCATATAATATAGATAATATATATAATTTATACATTTTGAAAAAGAAGCACAATAAGACAAATACAAGAGAGATACAAATTAAATTAATTTTTCAATTCATATTTACTTAACATCATTTATTTAACATCTTGACACGGATAGGTACTTAATTAGGAATGCTGTCCCTTTAAGACGGAAGGCATGCATGTAATACTGACACACGTTCAGTTTTCACCCACCTGTTTACGTTCACTTAATCCATAACCAACTGTATTTGCGTGAGATACTCTACACGATAGACATTTGGACTGCTGTGTGTGTATTTGAGCTGAGAACTGATCGCGCGCTGTATATGAGAACTGAAGAAGTGGAGCGTGCGCGAAAGAGAGGACTTCTATCAGCGCTAACTTCAAGCTGGACTCACACTACAGGATTTTGCTGTCACGGACAGATTTCCACAGTCTGCGACAAAACCCCCCAATCGTGACCAAATCGGTGCTTGTTGCGGTCGCCGAAGCTCGTTAAGTATGAGCAGGTCAGCGACGTGATCCGAACCGGTCTCGATCTATCACAGACACTACGATATTTTCAAACCTGTTTGATATTATCGCCACGCGATCTCGTAATGTGAGCGACACAATGACAAGGTGGAACTAATCCAGCCAATCACAGTGCAGATGGTATAAACACTCTTATCATGCCTCTTTATGAACCGACATGAAAAGCCAAAATTCATCAAATCAACTAACTAGAAATAAATTTAACAAATGCATAGGCTATATTTTGTGTATATAATACCATGTTTCCGTGCACTGTTTAATTACCTCCAACTCTTTCTGCAGTACTGACAGTCCACGTCTTCCAAGCCATATTCTCTTATGTCGTGGTTTCTTCTTTCTTTCTGATAAAATAACTGCACAGACCAATTGAAGGGCCAGTTGATCATCCATGCCTGAAGAAATGGCCTATAATCACTGAAATTTCTCGCGAGAATTTATGTGAGAAAACGTATTTTCGCTGATGGTCGGGAACTGAATGTTTTGTAGTGTGCGCACCTCATGAGCGTTGTGTTGTGTAGTATGCGCGCAGCTATGACAAGACCACGACAGATGAGATCAAATCTTGTTGCGTAGTGTGAGCAACACAGTGATTGGACTAGTCTTTCAATCCTGTAGTGTGAGCCCGGCTTTAAGTTAATCGACAACGAATTGTGACTCCTGGGAGAAACGGGACGTCTGGTCACCTTATCCCTAACCCTTCGGTGCTGAGGCCATTGTTTCAGATCGCTAGTTCGAATTTTGGTAGCCTATCCGTCCACTGCGGCTGCCATACTGAGACTAGATATGCAAACGCCCCTTATCCGATTGCAATCCAATGACAGGGACACACATTTTGAAGGACAAGACAGTAGCCTATAGGACAGGGATCCTCAAATCTGGCCCACGAGATCCACTTTTCTGCAGAGTTTAGCTCTAACCCTAATCAAACACACCTGAGCATGCTAATCAGTGTCTTCAGGATCATTAGAAAATCACAGGTAGGAGAGTCTGATCAGGGTTGGATCAAGATTTGAGGAACCCTGCTATAGGATGTATTTTGAATGTCCGGTAGTCCTCAAATAACATTATAGTCCCGTCTCGTCTTGTTAACGAAGACGCGGCATAAATTTCGTCATCGTTTTTATCATCAGATATTAGTTTTAGTTCGACAATGTCTTGTCTTAGTCACAAGGCGCGTTTCCATTACCCTTCAAATTGTGCAGATTTAAAATGCGAATTGAAAATACGCCTAATGGAAACGCGTCAATTTCGCAAAAACGGCCATATATCGCAAAAAAAGTTTTTACGCTCGCATGAGGTGGTTTTTCAGGCAATGCGAAAAAGGATTGATTCGCAAAACTGCAATGGAAACGGCTTTTTCGCATTTACAGGTCACATGGTGTATGTAAAAAGTCATATGATCATTCTTCAATGTACTATAACCTCCAAGAAACACTTCATAAGTGGCCGCGCTCTAGTATAAGGGGCTTTCCCTACTCTTAATGCTTAGACAATTTACACTGCACACGTCTGCGGTGCAGTGTGGCTCTGATACGGCCACTCAATACTTGTGTTTATGTTTTTATACAGTCTATGGTTTATTCCAGCCGCGCCACGCACGTTTCTGAAGCGGCTCTCTGTGCTGCTTCTGTAAAGATCCACACATAAGCCTCTTTTGAATAAATATAGCCAAAATCCCACCAAAATCTGTTGCCATGACTTATCGCGAGAGGCAAAAGGTTACATTTAAGTCTCATAACATTGGTTAATGGAAACGCCGTCATTTCGCAATACTTTTTTATCGACATTTATAAAATATCGCCAAAGTTTTGCGCAAATCTGTAATGAAACGCGCTTACTGAAAAAATGTTGGTTAACGAATATTTTTCGTTGTCGTCTTCGTTGACAAAATTAACACTGAACTTAAACCAATCAAAAATTAAATAAATAATAAAAATACGTTTAAAATAAGTTTTTTTCCATATTTTACTTCAGTTCAGATTTTTAATTCAAATTAAAAATGTTCTTTATGATTTTAGTCTGATTAACAATGCTCTTCATATTCATCTGCTAAAAACAATTTAACATCCAAAAAATTCAATTAAATGTATATATATAAAAAAAATAAAAATGACACATGAACCTGCAATGTTTTTAAATGCTTATGTAAGTGAAGATGGCACAACTGTAGAGTCTTTGTCAGGGCAGGGTGGTGATATTTTTGTGATGTCTCTAAGCTTATAAAAACATCTAGCAAACCCTCATGAATATCTGACCTTGTTTGTTGCCCTTGGCAGGAATCAAGTGACCGTAGAGTCAGATCTGAGCAAAGCTCTCGGGGCTTCAGAGGGAGGAAAATAGAAGCTGCGCTGATCCGACACTGCTGCGATATTAAAATAAGTTTTTTTCCATATTTTACTTCAGTTCAGATTTTTAATTCAAATTAAAAATGTTCTTTATGATTTTAGTCTGATTAACAATGCTCTTCATATTCATCTGCTAAAAACAATTTAACATCCAAAAAATTCAATTAAATGTATATATATAAAAAAAATAAAAATGACACATGAACCTGCAATGTTTTTAAATGCTTATGTAAGTGAAGATGGCACAACTGTAGAGTCTTTGTTACTAACTCTTAAAAAAACTGGACAGGTTTTTTAGTTTGTTTACTTTTCATTCATCACCTACAGAATCAAATCTTTACAACATACTGAAAATGTCCGTAAACATTTTAAAATGAAAATTAAATATCTTTTAAAAAATATTAAAGAATAATTTTGAGAGGAAAAAATATTAAAATGCAATTTTCAGTTATTTTAAAATATATGATTGGCCTGCAATCAAAATTAATTTTAAAACATATTAACAGCCCAAATACTAATCATTAAACTCTATAATTTAATAATAAACTTTATTCTATATACCAACACACACACAAATGTTGTTTAAAATAAAAAAGTAAATATGCATAATAAGAAAATTAAAATAAAATGTAACTCATAAATATGTGAGAAGGGCAGGGTGGTGATATTTTTGTGATGTCTCTAAGCTTATAAAAACATCTAGCAAACCCTCATGAATATCTGACCTTGTTTGTTGCCCTTGGCAGGAATCAAGTGACCGTAGAGTCAGATCTGAGCAAAGCTCTCGGGGCTTCAGAGGGAGGAAAATAGAAGCTGCGCTGATCCGACACTGCTGCGATATTACAGTAATCCACTGACTGCTGTTACTGTAGACATGTGACTGTGTGTTATCGAGCGCCTAATGGAGACGCTAAACCTGAGAGGGGCATTATAGGCATCTTCAGCGGCTAAAATCAACTCTTTTCCACACCTGCCAATTCAAAGGAACTGAGCAAATGTACCGGACATAAGGATTACTAACTGCTTATGTAACTTTGCATTGTGGGTATTGCAAATGTACTGTTGCCTTTATGATGATGAATTATTTACAGTTTTCTCTTGTATATCAGTGTCAGTCCAGCAGGTTATTGTTTCACTCATGGCATCATATCTTGCCATATAAGACAAAAAAATTAAATTGAGATTAAAAAGTCATAATTATGAGCAAAACATTTCTCATAATTTCAATGTTTTATGACTTTTTAATCTCATAATTGTTTTTTTCAACCTCATATTTATGGCTTTTATTTCATAATAATGATTTTGCGTGTCATACTTATGACTCATCTCAATTTATATTTTTATATTTTACTTTGTATCTTAATTATGGTTTAGTATGTCATAATTTTGAGTTTTTACCTTATAATTGACTTTTTATCTCATAATTAAGATTTTTATCTCAATTATAACATTTTATCTCATAATTATGTCATACTTTTGATTTGTCATAATCTCATTATTTCGATTATCTCATAATTATGACTTATTGTATCACTTAGACATTTATCTCATAGTCATGACTTTTTAATCTCA